TGCCTACAAATGCTAAAGGTCCCTTCTTATTAGATAAGTGGCAAATGCCTAGTATGAGGACAAAGTATGAAAAGTCCAATTTTGTTTTTGTTAGTTGAAGTTTGTACAAATAGTGATAAGTAGGAGGCAGTTCGAACTCCTTCTGCTTTATAGGTGATGGATTCACCATTGTTGTATACTTAGGAGATCAGGTTTTAGCCCCCCTCAATGCTCTTTTTTGGTAATACAATGCAACCCAGACTACTGTCTGGTTAAAAAAATATATATATGGCGTCCTACGTATATTAATAACTTCCATGATATGGAGTAAAAGAACCAAATAATCTCCACACTGGAAAAGTGTTCACCAGTTAATAGTTCGTCAAAGTTGTTGGAACTTATCAATTAAGAAAATATAGTTTGATAATTAAAAGATAAAAGAGCATAATTGTTTTTTTCGTTAACCCTCGAGAAATAATACAGAAGAAAAAGAAAAATAAGTTCAAAATTGTTAAAGATATCCTCAAAAAGCTAGTTTGTCTAATGTGTTTGAATGGCGAAAACTTTGCAAAATAGAAGCAATAACAAGAGAAGAGGCTCATCATCATCATAATCATTATCATTATCATCTTCTTCATTTGTGTAAAGTGTAACCAGTGTGAAGGAATCAGGGCTCTCAGATGAAGCAAGTTCTCTCAAGTCACTGAGTATCCTTACTCTATTCTCTACTTTCTGCAGTGGAAGTGAAAATTTGAGATTATAAAGAGAGAGAGAGATCATGTACTCCTTCTCCATTGACATACAACATCTTAGCCATCAAAAAACAACTTGGAAGTTACCAAAGTTAAGACAACATAACACAAGTGAACGCAGAGGCGGATCCAGGAATTGAAGGTGACGGATGTCATATTTACTTTAATGTACACCTTGACTATAACGTTTGTTAGAAATGTATATTCGGTTCGGTCCGATCACATCAACTTAATAAATTTTTTATTTACAAATATAAAAATTACATCTTTTATATATCAAGAAACAAATAAAATCAACATTTTTGAATAATATATCACATCTCTATTATTAACAATACAAGTAAAAATAACATTTCCAATAGAGAGTGTGAGTAATATTATAGTGTGGTGTTTAAAATAAAAAGTGTTATTTCTTTTGAAGTTGTAGTAGTCTATTGGCACTATCAAGTTGTAATATTATAGTGGTATTATATTGCTCCGCTTGGGTATTATATTTTATCTCGTTAAAAGATTTGGTGTCGTTGTTACTCTCTTGTGATATTATTATTTACCGTGTATATTATTCTTGGACGGGATATTATTTTTCCCAACAAAAACTTAACATAATATCTACTTGGAAACTCATCAAAATAAAAGTGTTTTGGTGCACTTTAGTTAAAGAAGTGGTTATTATATTCAGATATGAGCATTATGTGTTTACGAATCAATGTTCATTTTGTTTTATCTCTTTCCTTTCTTTCTTGGTTTTTCCAAAATTTGCTATTCTGTTCTTTTCTTTCTTCCGTTTCCCCCCTTTTCCCACCTGTTATTCTTTTTTCTTTCTTTTATTTTTGTCATTTTCCAAGTTAGATATGTTATTCCCTCTTGTTTCTTATTTTCTTTTTTCTTGTTTCATTTTTTCAAATTTGCTGCTCCCATTTATTAAAGATTTGGATTATATATGTTCTAGCATATTAAGTGTAAAGAACTTTTATCTATTTTAATTTGTCATTTATGTCTTTTAGAGGTTGTAAATCAATAGTTTGTTACGTTACATGTAATTATCGGTAATTGACTTCTAAGTAGATAGAGAAAAAATACTTTCACACTTGTTGTGTAGTTAATCACTTAACAGAACTTGTTAAAAAAATCTTTATCCTCCAATATCTCTTGTCTAATCCCTACCTCATCACCTACAACTCTCAAACCATAGCTTAGCAACTATTGGAACTACATACTCAATATCCTGCATTTATGACTTGTCTCAATCTCGTCGTTAGTGGTGCACCTATCTTTTTGGAATCCTAAATCCGCATATATATATCTCGCTTGCTAGCTCCATTAGAAGTGGTAACTTTGCTTAACTAGATGTTTTCGATTTATTTTTGTCTCCTTTTCAAACAAACAGCCCTTCGCAAGCAGCTTAACCCTTCTCGTATTCAGACTATCAAGATAGGCTAATTAAATGAGAGATCCAAGTCATGAAAAATGTTACGTAGTAAAAATGAACATAATGAGGAACTGAATTTTGTTTCTGTTATTAAAAAAAAAAAGAAATTAAAACACTTCTGTGCTATCAGATATATTTCATTCGGGTTATTAAATAATCTAAAAAATTGTAAATAGTTCTTCTTTCTGCTTCTCTCTCTCTTAGCAAAAAGAAAATACGAAGTTAAACAAGCTGAAATCGTGAATAGACTCCATTAAAATCCATTAAGTATGCCGATAGCGTCTTGAGACTACTCATCAGGGTTTTGACTTTTGAGTTCAGTTATAACTTAGTCTACGGTTTCTTCTTTATTTTTTATTTTTTCATGTAACTTTGTGGTTACTGTGTTCGCTTTCTAAGTTATAAGACTCTTGTATTCTATTATTTTCTCCTTACTTAAAAAAAAAATAGGAGTTAGCGATGGACATATTTTATAGCTAAACAGAAAAATCTGTTACTAATTCTATTTAGCGATAAATTAGCGATGAGGTTCGTAGCTAAATCTAATATTTTTTTTAGTGATATATTGTTTGCAAATTTACTACATGGTCCTATTTACTTGTGTCCCTTTTGCTAAAAATAATTGTTTTAAAATACTTATCGTTGTAGAGAATCGATAAAGAATTAATAATTTTCATTTCAAATTTACTTTTTCTAATCTTATAGGAGTAAATGTTCTTGAACAAAGGTAGGTAACTCAATCAAATATATAACTCCAATTATAATATTCTTAAAAGGTGTGCACAAGGCTAAAATGAGAAGTAAATTGGATCGGTGTATATCGTTTTATAGTATTAAGAAAAAAGCCCACAAATTAAAGTCATGTCACTCGTTTTATTTGGTGTAAACAGATAGAAGCAGCAACAAGGAGGGGAAGAACACTACCAAGACCTGGAGTTAGCAGAGGAAGTCCTCCTCAGAACAATTAATTTAAATTACATCCTCTTAAAATCTAGGACCCATTTTCATACTTTGGCTAGGGTTTTATTGAAGTTTGTTATATATATATATATATATATAGATAGATAGATCGGGTCAACTTTCAAGACTAAGTTTTGCTGGTCTTTTATCTTGGTTTGATTTTCGTACATGTTAATTGTTTTATGTTGTTTTAGGTCCATTATTTGTTTATACATATTGTAAGATATAAGGATCATATATGTGAAAGTTAATAGTACATAATCTACAACTTATTTGTCGAATTTTCTTTGCCAATTCTGTAATGCGCTTAACGTTGATGTTTATCTCCAATTTTTGACTGAATTTTCTAATTCTAACTTGATGACCACTGGACTGTTATTATTCATATTGCATGACTAAAACATTGTCTACTGAATTTCCAAAATTTTAAACATCCTTTGACTCATCAGTCATCATTAATAAAAAATGTCATTACAATTAATGAAAATATTATTGTTTAGTAAAAGTAAATAGAACTTATATGTTCCATTCTGCCCCCTCCAGTTAGAAATATTAGTTGTTTTGACAGAAGAAATTTGTTTCAAAATATTTGATGCTTTAGAAAAATAAAAAAATATGTATTATTTATATAAAATCTTTAAACGACAAATAATATGGGCGGTAAATAGTAATATCATTTAGAAAGCATGAATTAATTAGTGCTTCATTTGTCATTCATATGACTGGCAATAACTCCTTGGGTCCCTTCAAAAGATTCAAGATCTTCAAAAACATTATGATATGGACCATCGCCATTAATATTGGGCATATTTAAAATAGTGGCTATTGCTTGACTCTTCTCACACATATATATATATATATATATATATACCAAAAAATACAGGTCATTCATTTTGGGCATATTTAAGTGCCTTATTACTCTTCCGAATTTAACCAATGGCGGATGTAGGGAAATAGTGGCTTTGGACCTTCAATCAATGGCGGATGTAGTGTGAGTTCTGCAGATTTAACTAAAATTATTATTCTTGCTTTGATCTCTTTCTCTTTATATATAAACAAGTATTGATAGAACTAATTAACTACATATCTAATTGTGGAACTCACACTTTCAATTAAAATCCTACAGTGTTTAAATCTTGAATTGGTCACTGCCTCCATTAATCGTGACAAAATTCTGCAGAGAGTAAAATTCAACTTTCCATTAATTAACATGTACTTGTTTGGCTCACTATCGACTATTACAAATTTATTGGATTATCGACTACCAATTATGTGTGCTTTCATATTTGCACATCTTACGGGAACGCCGTAGAAGGTATACTAGTTTTGAAAATCATCACTTCAAATTTTATCATATCATTTATAGTTACTTCCATAATATGGAGTAATTTATGATTGTTGTGGTGATACTAATATTTACTAATATTGTCTCCCTTTGCTTTGCATCTTTCTTCTGGATTTCATGGTGTTCCTATTTATCCTATGATTGTTGTTGTGATACTAATATTATTTCCTTTTTGACATTTTGTCTTTTTTTTTTTTTGAGCCGAGGGTCTTTCGGAAGGTCTGCATACACACTACCCTCCCCAGACCCGATTATTGGAATTTTACTGAATTGTTGTTGTTGTTCCATAATATGGAGTAAAAAAATCTAATAATCTCCACCTAGCATAAGGCACACTGGAAAAGTGTTCACCAGTTAATAAATAGTTCGTGAAAGTTGTTGGAATTATTTGTCAATGAAGAAAATATAGTTTGATATTTAAAAGATAAAAGAGCATAAACTTTTTTTTCATTGACCCTCGAGAAATAATACAAAAGAAAAAGGGAAAAAGCTAAAAGAAGAAAAATAAGTTCAAAACTGTTAATTGAAGATATCCTCAAAGAACTAGTTTGTCTAATGTGTTTGAATGGCGAAAACTTTGTAAAATAGAAGCAATAACAAGAGACTCATTATCATTATCATCTTCTTCATTTTCAACCACTTCCAACTCCGGTGTTGACGGTGGTGGCGGCGGCGGAGGAGGTGGTGGTGGTTGAGAATAAGGTGAAGGAAAAGACATGGATGGGTAAACAAAATTAGTACGTGCATTTTCAATACCACAAAAAGCAATAGAGGAAATATCATAAGCCAAAGCAGCTTCTTCAGCAGTATCAAAAGTGCCAAGCCAATGCCTTTGTTTTGTGTTTGGATTTCTAATCTCAGCTGCATATCTACCCCATGGCCTTCTTCTTACACCATGATATTTTGTTGAATGTCTTGAGCTTCTTCTACTTAAATTTCTAACATGCAATTGAGGAATAATATTATCCATGTTTTTTTTTGTTTTTTTTGTTTTTTTTTTGCTTTTAAATGGTGTTGAGGTTTCAAAAAGTTTTCTTGACTATGGAGGGATGGAAATGAGATGGGATTTATATACTTGTGAAATGACGGAAGCTTAATGGTGTTTATTAATAAAATAAGACACCACTGATTAGCACTAAGATAAGCTAATTAATAAAAAATGAGTTAAGATGAGTGTTCTGTTCTTATTTGTGGTTTGGTCAAGTGGAGCAAGTGGGAAAGTGTTAAGTACAAATTGCATTATTCCTTTGACGATTGTTGGAGTCAAACTTTATCCTTAATTTCCTCTATTTGACATGATTAGAGCAAGCATAATCCGGAATTTCTGAATTTCATATTTTTTGTTTGTTAATTTTTTCGCTCAAATTTGATCTCTCTGCCTAGTGCCTCCCCTGTCACCCTATCATTTGTTTCCTCTTTTACATGTTCAGAGGCAAGAGTTTTATTTGTTTATGAAACAACAGTAACATCTTAATCCTAAACTAGTTAAAACCGACTATATTAATCTTCAATATTCATTACGCTCCATCTGAACAATCTCATGACAATAATAAATAATTTATTTTCTAATACAAACCAGTAGCTCTAGTCTATCACCTTTGAAACTCGTAACGTAAACTCGCATATGTTTATACAAAAAACTAACAGTTGCATGAAAAATACGTGATTTGGAATGAATAGAATACTTATTTCCTCCATCCCTACTTTACCTCTATTTTATCTTCTTTTGTGTTTGGAGTTAACCAAGTAAAACTTTTAGTAGAAATAATCCTTTGAATCAGTCCAAAGCTGAGAAGAAAATTGCTCATGACAGCTACAGTTACTTGGTATTCTTACGAATGAGAACGAAAACTGTCTTTTTCTCTTTACAGTTCTCAAGGTTAAAAGAGTGAAGAATCACCCCATCTATGATTTGAGTTTCTAAATTGTGTATAAAATTTTATTCGTGTCCACATTTGCAGTTGTTAAACCAGCGTGGCAGTGGCTAACTAGTTGATCGCCTAATTGGCATTTCCTTGAATAAATATCTTACAGAAATTTGCATTAAAAAATTTACAAGTCCTTATGCTACAACAATAGGGAGAAGGCGACGATACAAGAAGGAATTTCATCATTGTTGAAACATTTTAAGAATCTACACACGCGCGAGAGATAGAGAGAGATAGAGACTACATGAACTCAACTGACCTATTATCAAACAATCATCACACGTACAACCAGAGTGACAATGCTGAAACTACAACAGTTGCAAAATTGATACTGGACAATAGAATGAATACATATTTGGCAAAGGCAACTACCATCCGTATAAATGGGCTAATTAATCAGAACATATAAATACGTAGAAACTATAGTCCCAATCTGTACATTTATGATTAAGGCATGTACAGGAAATTTTCTTCAGATTGCAACAAACGACTTGTTGCAGCAGTTGGATTATGTCAGCTTTCGCCATATGGAGTGTTTTGTAGCTGATAAGCACTTCACCCTGGGGAAAACAAAACCTGTCTTTGGGGGATTTCCATCCACCAGAGAATGTTCATAGATTTCTTTGCATTCTTGAACAACCTATTTCACAAAGAAATCCCCATCAAGAAAGCAATAAAGAGAAACCAAAGTTATCATCTCAAAGATAATGAACAGCCTTAGAGGGCTCACTAATATAAGGAGCCGCTGCAAATGCATGAGATTCAAGAGCTTAATGCTTTAGATATTTTTACAGGTAAATGAGTCTTGACACAAGTTCATTTAATTTAGAAACAGGTGCAGCAGAAAAGTAAAACAAAACCGAAGCACAACACCAGAGCTCTTGCAATAGATGTTTAGAAGGGATCGACAAATAATTTGGAGAAGTCTCTAACATGGTTTGGTCATAAAGAAGCCTGACATCGACAAGCTTCTGCTTTTATATGGAATGAATATATTTATATTGAGTAAATATATTATCAAAAGTAATGGCGAAACAATGACTTTTGATTTTTAATGGCGAAAAAAGAAACATTAAATCTTGTAGCCTCAAAGCATGGCAAATAATGGCAACTTACTAAAACAACATGTTAACCACTTCACTAATGCATTGGCAGGATGTAATGTAGAAAGTGCGAACAAAAGAACTACTAATGAGTAGCAATATCCTTTTCTCAGATAGTTCAAATTTTGAACTAAAATTTTGAGCACGTGACCACTTAGATAACACATGTATACCTCTTTTGCATCTTTTCGCGGTATGCCTTCTCGCAGACCCACAATCTTTTCAACCACTTCTGGCTGCAGTTGAGAGTAACAATGCTCAATAATAGGGATTATCAAGAGACACAATAGAACAACAAGATAATGATTTTAACCACCAGCTTCCACACGGTAGATTCAATTTTTAACTGACATTTAGATTCATAATGATTCATAACTCGGTTTTGAGATTTCTTTGCATGGACAAGAGCAGATAAGAAAACTTACTGGACAGTCCGGTTGCTGTTCTAAAATATTTGTGTAAACCAGTGTGAAGGAATCAGGGCTCTCAGATGAAGCAAGTTCTCTCAAGTCACTGAGTATCCTTACTCTGTTCTCTACTTTCTGCAGTGGAAGTGAAAATTTGAGATTATAAAGAGAGATCATGTACTCCTTCTCCATTGACATACAACATCTTAGCCATCAAAAGACAACTTGGAAGTTACCAAAGTTAAGACAACATAACACAAGTGTATGTGCATACATATGCTTTGTGTAGATAATTTAAAGCACCAGTAAGGCAGATCTATAAATTTCAATAGAAAAAATAGGATCAGTTAAAAAAAATTTCTATAACTGAGAAATTCCGGAACGCCAGCCTAAGTTGCTCCGACACGGCAGTTTAGGTGACACACCCGTGTCGACACGACACTAGTATGGGTGTGGATATGGGATCCGTACCGGATTTGGTCAAATAGTTTTGGGTGCTTTGACCACGAGGGACGGAAAAACTAGAGACGAGATACAATTTGATTCCCGAAATTAAAACCAAAACTAGGGTAAATATGAAGAAAATAGCACACCTTATCTAGGAAATCAATCATTTACTTATCTACAACTTGAATACAACTTGAGAATAAAAAAGCAATCCCCACTTTACAAGTTGTATGTAAGTATTCCACAAAAAATTTCATAATTTAGAGATATTTTTATTTTTTTGAATTATTTTGAGCCGGATCCCCGCACCCGTATCCGTACTAGGATCCATATCCCCGGATCTTAGAATTTACATCTCGAAGGATCCGACCTCTAGATCCGCACCCCTGTCGAACACCCGCATCCGTGTCCGAGCAACTTAGGCGCCAGCTAGCAGATGGTTCCAAGCTCGGTGGATAGTGACCCCTCCCCTCTACCTATTCCACTTATATCCAGGCGCTTACGTGTGCGGTAGGATTCAAACTCGTGCCGTGCGCCTAATCTACAAATCACGCGCAATGCTCTCTTTCTCATGGATAGGTCATCACGCATTGCGTTCTTACCATTAGAGCAAAGTTCAGCGTCCAGTAGGATCAATTAAATTATGTTATGATTTCATTAACTAGCTTGAAGATTGAATTCATATCCTAATGATATTTTAGAAGTCACCTTATTTTTCTGTTGAATAGTAAACCCTGCAGCTTTTTAGGACTGGGCGCCCAGCCATTTAGGAAGACTCACCCCAGCCACTATAGCAAAGCCACCCCCAACTCTAGCGGAGAAGCACTCTCCACCCATTTCCATTTTTCCGTGAACCAAAAAACCCGCCCACCCCCTTTTTTTGAGGCCCTCAGTGATAAGTGACTAGTCCAACAATTAAAAAGACACCTAACGCCATGGACTTACTGGACGCAGTGCAGTATTTTTCTTTAATTCTTCTTACTACGGAAAATTTCCGATCTCCCCAAATCTCTTGCTAGTTGCCGACTTACTTTGCCTTTCCTTTGGCCATTAATTTCTGCATTTCATTCACATTTGGTAGAGTTTGGTACGTCTATACCAACCCAAAATCCAGTTTCAAGGTATTGTCCGCTCTGAACCAATCTTTGGGACATCACGAGTTTGTCCCCTTGGGCTTTAAGGCGCCTTAACACTTGAATCCTAACCTTATATGGCTCAAACTTTCCTCTCTCATTCCGATGTGGGATTTGCCTAAGACAAGTGTCGCAACGAACAGAGTTGAACCATGTTGTTACATTCACCTCCAATAGGAACTCAGCGTCCTCGCTAAGGTTTGCCCTACCCTCGTACTAGACGAGGTACCGGCTCTGATACCACCTACCATAACCTAAAGGGGTGGGGCCAAAGCGGACAATACCTTGATATTCGGGCCTGGCCATATCTAGGCAAGCAACAAAATATTTCTAGTATTTAAATTCAGTAATATAATATTCACTCGATCCTTCAAGATCTATGGAAGATATATTAAAGAATATATATGGCCTTCGCATATCTAAAATGTTGCAAATCAAATGTGATTTATTAACAATCACATGCTTATCACATGATATTATCGTAAAAATTGAACTTTGGTCTCCAAATACCTCGATATGGTATGTAAATGAGGGACTATAATCTAGCAATAACATACATGAAATAAAGGCCGTATACTATATTTAATGTTTTACAATTCATTTTTTTAAAATACTACTTAAGATTCATAATGTTTCAAACCATTTTTAAAAAAAGTCATAGGTGTAATACCCTGATACAATTTTAAATCACAACAAAGCTCTTACACTCATTATCAAGGATCACATAATCACTTTTGTCAATATTTTTAGCAAAGTATTTTCTCCTGTTTGCAAAATCTTTTACAAATCTCTTGCTGAAAAATTGGTGCTAACTTATCCAATGTTCTCCCTATTAGTATTAAATAAGGTTACAAGCTAAAACTTAAAAAGTTAAGAGATTTGATGCAATCTATTTATTCTTTTTACATGTAGGGACAAAAAGCGGATTCAAATCCTTTCTTAAAAAATTTGTTGTACATAACCATCAAGTTAGATTAACAATAAGTCTGGCATTTTTCATTCTTATTTTCTATTTGATTGCTACCAGATTGAATACCGGATAAATAAATTGCCACCATTTTAGCCTTAAGAAAATTTAAAAAAATAGCCTTAGATTGACACTTTGCTATAGTAAATTAATTTAGTAGACCTTGTAAAAAAAGTAAATAAAAGTAGTGTTCTTGCAGCAAAATTGGAGTTTAAGTTAGATTAAGCCAAAATAATAATAGAAGAGAGTGGTATCGTAATTTGTGATTATAGAGACTTTTTGTTATTTGAAGGCATTAAACTCATAAGTTTGAACAGGAAATTCAGAAAAAGGATTTGGCAAACTTTCTAAAGACAGAAAGGCAATACTAACACAAATCTTAAATCAGAAGTAAATGGGATAAGAAATGATGTAAAAGATGTGCACATAAGTTGAGCTGATTATCTATTTACCACCCTCCCCAAAGAATAAGAGAAGTGCAATCGGTACATGAGTTTCAAAATTCCCCCAATTAAAAATATACCTCAGGTAATAGTAAGAGTTCAAAAAGAAAGTTGTTGGGCTTACAGAAACACTAATGTACTCCCGAAAGAAATCCATGAGAACCTCTTCATCGAGCCTCATCCTCTCAATCGTTTCTTCTTTAATGTAGTTTTTCTACCATGCGAGAGACATAGAAATAGTCAAATAAATTGTGTTATAACCCAAAAAAAACTAGTGTCAATTAAATGAACTGTGAGGAACTTTTCAAATAAACCTGGGTAAGTAGATGATCCACATATACAACAACAGTCTCCTCCAGGCAAGCCTCGACAAAACGCCTAAATGATCTTTCTTCAATGTACCTTTTTCCCAAATTGTGAAACAAACAAAAGTTAAGGATATACGTGTCATTCATTCTAGGATATTCCTCAATTAGAAAGTGTTGCTGCTGCAGCATATGAATATAGAATATAATGAACTCACATAAATAGGATAAAGAACATTCCAAGGGAGGAAGGAAAAAAACAACAGATGATGTCATTCAGCTAAGTACAAAAGAGAACTCACATTTTAACATCGGTGAAGTAGTCTGAAAATGTTGCAACTAGAAACTCGGTAACCTGTCCTTCCAACCAATCTGAGACATGAAACAACGAATTTCCAAGTGAAGACTAGAGTTTTAGAATCATGGCAACCTAACACATTTGCATAATTTCTGACTTGAACTAATTTATTCACAGAATGCTTCACATTTTTCTTGATTGGCAAGAAGAAGATAGAATGCTTCACATGTTGTACAGTACATAATGGTTAGACTCGTTTCTCTGTGGCTAGAATTATATTGCTTCAAATGTCCGTTGCGAGGTTGCAGAAGAGTACATATCGGTTGCAGATCTCGTTTCTAATGTCAACCATTGCTAGGTTGTCCAATGATAGATTCAACCATTATAAAATTCCAAAAGTTAGTTTCAATTGGTAACATCTATCTTTTCTTGCATTCCCTTAATCCCAAATCAATATCCCTGTTTGACTATTAAGATTAGAGGTGATTGTTCGTTGAATCAACAAAGTGCAATAGCCAAAAATCCTTACCTAAGATCATCGATGGATACTCCTAGACTGTGAAAGAGAGGGCGAACTGGGAATCTAATAAGATGCGTCGAATGCCCTTGCCATGTTGCTAGAATAGGAGCTGATATTGATTGAATGAGGGAATATAAAAGGACCATGATACTTTCTGCCTTTAGAATAGTAGAGGAGGTAGAGTTAACTTAACTTTTGGTAATTAAAAACAAATTCCAGAAGGTACCACATTAGGAAGCTGAACATTAACTTTATGACAACTGTGAATGGAAGGGAGACAATCATGGGAACTGAGATGGAGGGAGATTTTCTTATTCCTCCTAAAGACAGGCAACTAATGTACCAGCAAAGGTAAATGAATACAGATGATGAAACTTCTACATTGTAAGAGCTGAAATTGGACAATATTTGCACTGTAGGTGCCTTTTCGCTACTAACATAATGCTTAGATAGTTGTCCCATGGAAAATTGTCATGATTGCAAGGAGTGACAATGGTTGTAAGACGTTTTCAAAATTTAATTTTTTGTAATATCTTACTGTGACACTAGTATCTTAATGTGTTATTACTCCATTCTAAATTACTTGTCCAACTTTTCTCATTTGTTTTAAAAAATACCAATTCAAACGACATAAGTAATAATTATATTACCTTAATGTTGATGTGATGTATTTTCAAAATAATTATCCTATAATTTCCAGTTAACATTTACTAGTACTAATTAAACACTTCTCATACTCTAATATACCTCCTTCGCTCAAAATGGAAAGTCTAAATTTCATTTAGAAAAAAGGTTGAAACTGTAAATTGTCATGTGAAACCACACATCAGCTTTTGTCTTCCAAAATAAAAATAGAAAAGGTTTGTTACGAGAGGAGAAAATGTGTGTTATCTATAACCTTGTGTAATAAAATATTGTGCCATTGATAACCTTGTTACGAGAACAATGTGTGGTGAGGCACATGTCACAGATTCGAACCCTGCAACAGACAAAAGCACGGGGTTCACGTGGAGGAGGGGGGACCCATTCGAACCATCGCTAACCTCAGGGATTTCTTGGTTAAAAAAATTATCATAAAATACACCAAACATTTCTTTTTAAGAACATTTGACATTATATTTAGACGCAAGAAGGAAAGGTGGAAATTGTGTTGGGAATGGAGGGACTATTAGTCGAGTCAGACTTTCTTCTCGTCAGATTTGAGTAGATACTTCAATATAGGGGTAGTTATGATGACGTTATTATAAAAATAATAAAGATGAAAATACATGTATACAATCAAAACAATCCAAATGGGACAGAAAAGTAAAATAGCATAGAAGCAACGGTGCAGATACAGTGAGATACTGTACATCGTAAATTGATTAGACAGAATAGATCCAACACTTCACCAGTAAATAATAGGTAGTAACAGTTCTAAGATAGATGCTTCTAACATATGGGACGAGAGCTCCTAGCAACAGAAAGAAAACTGAGGAACATCTCACCTTTCTGATACAACTTAACAAGCAATTCCTCTACTCCTGGATCTTCAAAAATGACACTGACAGTTTGATGAACAGCTTCCTGAAATTAGTGAGAGCAACTCAGGTACAAAGTAATGAAGTATCACCAATAAAAAAAAGTCAGATACGAAGTACTGGTAAAAGGTAACTATGGTCTATAGTGTACCCCCTTTCTTGCCATCCCCAGCTCCAAGTCCACTATTCTTCCCCTTCTCAAAGATTGTTTGATCACACAAGACTTGAGACCTCTAAGTAATGAGCACTCACAATAACGGTCCCTGAAGGCACAAAATGCATCTTCTTGGATCACCTCCAATGGTTGTTCAATTTGGGGTTACGCAAAAAAGGGTTTTGGATTTTTGCTGTTGGGTACTTGGTACAGACTTTTTAGTTGTGGTTTCGTGTTTAGGTAGCTAGCATTACTGGTTGGCCATGGGTTTTGGCTTGACCCAAATCTGCAAGTTTGGAGATGTTCTGGGCTTCCGCTTGGAGTTAGGTTGCTTAGTTGTCCCTTAAGTTATCCATAAAATTGAGTGGGGAATTAACTCCACAGTAAATAGAGATACGTTGCACACTTAATTATAATAATAATAAGAAAGTCACCATCCGTAAAACCAAGCCAGTACTTACCTTTGCAACCTCTAAAAAACCTTTGCAGGTGTCCTCGAAATTAACCTGTGAAGCAATCAAAGAACTTAACATAAAAGGAAATTAAATGCCAGCAATGCAACTTCTAGGCCAAATAACTAGGACTTAACAATAATCACATTGACAAGAGTTAGATGCAAGTGCCAGAACCAACTTCTAGGCCAAACAACTAGGACTTGACAAGAAGCATTAGATGCAGAACTCATTCACCATCTCTGACACCCATATATTCAAAACAAATCATTTTGTCCCAGAAGGTGAGCCTTGGAGCAACGGTAAAGTTATCTCCGTGTGACCTATAGGTAACGGGTTCAAGCGGTGGAAGCAGCCACTAATGCGTGCATTAGGTTAGGCTGTCTACATCACACCCCATGAGGTGCGCGGCCATTCCCCGAACCCTGCGTGAACGCGGAATGCCCTGTGCACCGGGCTGCCCTTTAAATCATTTTATCCCACAACATCAAAGAACAGCAATACTTTCTGGTATACACCAGGCATTAGTGGGCTTATGTATTATATTATCTTATAGTATAATACGGTAGAATTGAGCCATAAAGGTTGTACCAGTGTTGCAGTTGCAGAACTTCAATCTCACCGAGAAGAAAGAGGGGGGGGGGGG